GACGATGGCAGCATCGATGCTGGGATAAGAAAAAAGCTGAAACAAAAGAAAGCTAAACAACGAAAAGGTACGATGAGTAAAAGCCCTACATCTGACATAAAGCCAGAGCTTGAAGAAGATGAAAATTATGTCTCTTGGCCTGGCTCAGACTGCAGCGAAAGTGATTTTGAGGAAGATGCTGACGATATATCTTCATTAGAGCTTAAACGAAAAGGTTTAGAGTCTTGCTTTGTCCAAACAATGTCTGGCCTAGAGACGGAGTCCATGAAGGTGAAAAGCAAACAGGGCAAAGAAAAGGGAAAAGTAGTCAATAAGAAGGGAAAAAAGAACCGTAAAGGACAGCGTGCAAGACAGCAGAAATGGGAAAAGGTTCATGGGAAGAGCGCAAAGCATTTAACTAAGAAGAAAGTAGAACTGAGTTCAAAAGAAACCAAAGGAACAAAGGAACGGAAAAATGCCAAAATTCAGCATTCTCTCAAGAGGAAAAGTGACGATGAATCACTGCATCCATCTTGGGAAGCTACAAAAAGGAGAAGATTACAAGAGACTTTGAAGGTCGAATTCAAAGGACAGAGAATAAGATTTGATGACTCAGAATAGTTGTGTTTGATATACCGTGGAACTCCGTCAATCCTAGCCAGAGCTTTCTCCGCATTCTGGCCGCGTACAAAATCGGGGCGAGAGCAAAAAAATTCATCGAAGCGGGGGACGGTGGATTGGCCGAGCGTCGGCTACGTCGACTTTTTGCTGTCGCCCCAATATTCGCGCGACCCGCCGACTTTGCTCGTTCAACCTCCCCTACAGAGCGCCTACTTCCGAGGCCACGTAAGCCACGTTAATCCGACCAACAACAGACTATCAAAAAATCTGCACTCCTGTCAAAGTAGCGGGGTGGTGGTACCGGTATTGCATGAAATTGGCTCCTGATTAAATGGGGTTTTCATAACGCAGATGATTGATTGAGACTCTCTTTGGGCCAACCGCCAAACGAAAGTGGTCGTAGCATTCATGAAGAAGTCAAATTTAAAACGAAGCGTTTCTAAGATAAGGCGTTACTGTTTAGACTAAACACGTGAACGTTCCTTGACTTAACTTACCGTTACGTGATGTTTAACAACTGATATCGCGAGAAAAAGTAATTTTTTTAGAAGTAAATTTTAAGAAATGATAAGGACATTTTTCAATTTATTCGCATAAGACTGTATTTGTATCACTGTCATTTTTTGTGTTTTAGCTGCACATTCCCCTGAGAAAAGTATATCCGAGATTAGAGCAGAAAGTAAAATCAATTGTTACAGCAAGCCATGCACTAGTGATTAACTTGCAAAATTATGGGCAATTATTTTGTGACCATTTCATATATCAGCCGTTTTGAGAAAGTTTGTTCTGCAAAGCTTATGTAACAATGTCGAAAGGTATTATGGGTAATGGTGGTTTACTGTTGCTTGATTGAAGTTCGAGGTGTTTCAGCGTGATAGAACGAAACAGCATGAACACGAGTATTCATGCTTTCTCTGTCCTTCTTGCCGAAACACCGTGAACCTCAACCAAGCAATGATCAACTATGCAATACCCATAATACCAATCGGCATTGTCTCGTACGCTTTTGTGCTTTTGTGGGACATTTGTCTAAACAACTGAAGTGTACCCTCACGTGAACCGACCACCCAAACGGCAAGCCTGTGCGGTCGTTTACGCTAGATAGTCGCTAATGATATCAGATCAGAAGGATCTAAATTTTGGTTTGTACCCAAATTCGCAATTAGCCAATCAGTAGCCGTGGCTACTATCTATCAAGTCACTGACCTGATATGGCTACACTATGATGGACATTTAGCTCAATTTGGGTGCGGTAAATACCTAATCGTACCCTTTTCGTATCCTTTTGGTACGTTTTGGTGGCATGTCAAGCTTGTTTGGTCTCGCCACGGGTATTTTGGCTCGACTACGTCTCGCCAAAATAGGAACCTCGAGCCGAAGCGTACCAAAAGAATACGATTAGATACATATAACCCCAATCGTTTCCAAGGTTCAGTTGATGCCTTCACGAAGCACCCGTAAACCTAAAAACCACGTTAATTATATAAAACACATCTAGTAATCAATTCGAGGATATTTCGTGCATCCAGTGCAATTTCCAAGTCGTGATACCTGCGATGTTTAATGAGCCAATAGTCACGCGTGAACATAGGACAAAAAACAAACTTCAAGGCCCTAAAAGGGCTGTAAGGCGAATCGTTACCCAATTTGCAACCGTAGCAGGGTAGAATGATAATTTCAAACCATCAAATTGTAATAGCCGCGAGCTATAAAGGAGGCGATGTCGCTTCTTACTTGCTTTTAATATCTAAACAACATGGCGGGAACTGCATAGAAAAGATCGCAAAGCATGGTGGTTCACATGCTGATTACGTCTTTACTGCTAACTCTAGAAGTAAAAAAATCTTATCTAATTTACGAAGTCAAAAAACGTGCCAAGTTTTCTCCGAGTATATACAACTGACTTGAGATGCTGCTCAAGGTAAACTGGACACTAAATTGGGTCGCATCCACTATTTACAAAGATAGCCTTGAACACTACTCAAATTTAACTAAGATAATAATTGCTCTTGCTACTGAGTTTAACATCGTAAAATATGTCGCATAGTTTAACAAAAGAGTCAGCCCCAACGGGAACGAATTGTTTTAGACCTATTTGAAGCAATGACTTGGAAGAGAGGTTACTTCCAGCAAGCTGTGTTCCCGAGTTATTGAACTTATTTTAAAGTTTACTAAGTAGGCGGTGATTTATTCTACAACTGTGTTCATATTTGTTGCTGTTTTGAACGTTTTCTGTCATAGTATCGAGAAAAGATTCTAGTTTTATCTTTGACGTGTTCAGTTATAATGCAGCCCTCGTTAGGAAGCCGTGTAGTCCAATGCTTGTTTTGAGCCTGCTCCAGCGTCTTCCTTTAAAATCAATGACATGGTAAATTGTGAGGAGAGTCCATGGAACATAGGGTGAGGTTTGCTGGGGTCATAACGACGGTAAACTCTAGGTGTACTTCTTCTTGAAACAAGAAACGCGAGGTTCGTACCCACTACTCACTCCTTCCATACGCTCTCCGCTGTGACCGGAAACAGTCTGTCCCGCAGGCTCGGACGTAACATGCAAAGGTTGTGCACAGTCGTAATATTCAAGCAGCGACGTCATTCAGCCATCACTACACAAGCACGCATCTGAAAAAAGATACGCACATTGAAGACATTAGCACAAGAGGCAATCATGAAAATAGTACTCACAAAACTATTTGATAAAAAACAACAACAAGGGGTGGGGTGGGGGAGAGGCAGGCCCGTGCAATTTTTATCCAAATTATCAAAATAAAGGGCATTTTTAAAGAACATCACTCAAAAACAGCTTTAGCACACGTGAGTTATCTACCTGAGCACAAGCAACAAAGATCAAAACGTTTACGCTCAATGGTGATGTTCAATCTCGTTAACAGTCCCCAAGTCCTGGGAACGAGGAAAGGTTATGTTTTAGGCATGACGTACCTTGTCTGGTATTGTCCACGTTTCCTGAAGCATTCAAGAAATCAAAACAAAAAGGGCATTATACCCATGGCAGGGTGTGGATAGGGGCATGGACTTTACCATCCGCAATTTCGCTAAAACGTGAGTTTAATATTTTAGCTTTCTGCTAGAAAGCATGTAAGAGACCATGAAAATCCAGCTTGCATGCATTAAGTAGTCAAAAAGAAAGAACCAAGAAATAATTAATCTAAAAAAAAAACCTTGAGTGAACAATAGGCTTGAGCTTGAAACTTGATTGGATAAAATGCCCCTAAATAGTCTACACTAACAGCATACCGTCTCCTATTTCCTGAGCTCCTTTCGACCTGTGGTGTGTTGGCCGGCATCCTGTTAAAAATAATAACAAAGAGCCTTTAACAGCAGAAAGAGGTTGTCACTCCATCCTATGAATAATAGTTTTAAGTCAAGTTGTATAAAGAGAGTTAAGAGCAGTTTTAAATTGAGTGTCCAAATCCAAAGTAATCACTCACACAGATCACAAAGGAGACAGACAATCCAGTGAACCAATCAAAACTCGAAACAAATACATGTAGCCGATGCGAAGAGCGGTAAAAAAAAA